GCGCGCGTTGATCTCGCCTGCCTTCTACGGCCGCGTCCGTAAAGTTTCTCCAACCTATGCTCTCTATGCATTAATTACTCCTAGAGAAAGACGTTTTTAACATCTCTAAGAGAGGTACGTTCGCAACCTAGATAAAAAGGTGACAAACTCTGTCAGATAAGAATAGATACATATTAAAAAAAAAACAAAAAATAATTATTCGAACGATCCCCGAGATTAATTGAAACGATGGCGACGCGTCGCGACGCTGTGAACGAAAGAACGGAACGCCGCCCGCCTCCGTTGGACTTTGCTCCGCGGCGACGACCGATCTAATCTAACCGCCGAAAAAAAAAGAGTAAAAAATAAAAAAGATACGAAAAAACCTCAGCGTCGTTTATCTCTCGGGCCTTTTTACGACTATCGTGCGGCTTCCTTCCTGCCTGCGTCCCGGCGCTCTCGTTAAATTTGCACCAGCTCCGCGCGACGGCGATATTTGCGGCCGTATATTTTTTCTTCGCCCCGGCAGCGGCCGTCAGCCCCGCCGCCGTCGACGATATTTATTCCGGCGTGTCGTTCGAACGGAAACGCGAAACGATAAATCGGAACGTTTTCCACGGAATCCGTCCGCTTCTATCAGATACTCGACCGCCCGTGCCCGATAACAGCGGACCGGGCAGCTTCAGATTACGACCCGGATTTGCGCGAACGCGCCAAGACTTTTATGCCATTTTACCGCTCAATGCCGACTCGTGCACTTGAACGTTTTACGCCCGGGACTCGATACGCGAATATTTAGAGGCAATCGCGGAGATAATCTTTATTCGTTGTTCGACATTTTTATCTAATCAATCGGTGACGTTTCCCGTTCTCGTCGTCAGAGCGCATGCTCTCTCCTTTCCTTTTCTTCCAAATATCTCAGAGTGAAAAGGGTTTGTAAGAGTTATTCGCGAATTCCTAATCATCTGTTGCAACGACGGCGGTCGTATTCGGGGTTGTCGGAGAGATCTTGGCCGGTGAATCGCGAAAAAGGAGCGAGAATCGCGGTGAACCGGACCGCTCGCGACGCTGGTTGTTTGCGTGAGAAATTACGGGGGTCCGGGAAAGCGTCGTTCGCCGCTGCAAAGGTAAACTAGACGGCACCGAAGCGGGACAGCAATAATTAGTCATGTTGCTCGGAGACCGTGGGTCTCCGTTGCCAAGCCAATAAGAAGTCGATCTACCCGGCTCGTTTCGCGTGATATATCGTCGCCCAGGTGGGTGATGTCGAGCCGGCGAAACTCCTAGCGATCGTTTTGCGCGCTTTCGGGAAAGGGGCGTCGCGATGAACACGTACGGGGCGCGACTACCTCATTCTTCGCGTTAAAGACTCGGTTAAACGCGTCCCCTTGCTATAATAAATAGCGCGAATGATAGATCGCTTCGGGGCTCCGTTGCGCGTTGGGCCGCCTGGTACCCCCGTGTACTTCGAATAATAAATAGCAGTGTCTTTCAAACAACAAATAGCAGATAACACACGGATTAAGTCTGTTTACAGGACTCGGTGAAATATGGATTTCAAACAACGCGCAGCAGATAGCGCCAGATTAGGGCATGTAAGGGAGTGGGTACGACATACCTTTCGAATAATAAATAGTAGATAGCTGCTGAGATAGCCAGATTAGGAGCCTGGTGGAATGTCAAAAGATCCGGGGAGTACGAAACGCTGCTTGGAAAATGCTGCGCCAACGTGACGCGGGGGAGGGGATACTTTCTCGGAACGTAGAGGGAAACTGTGGAAATATTGAAACGTCTCGATGGGATTGACAGACGCTGTTCACCGATGCCATTTCATGACTTACGACACGCATACCACGTAAAGTTCACGGTTTTATACACGCTATAAATAACTTGACAGTTTCCTCCTGCTGCATTTTCAGATATCATTCTATATAAATAGCATTCGCTATAGTATATCCTCTTCTGAACTCGTATCATAAGATAACACAAATACCAAATCTATTTATTCGACTTCAAACTATTATCAAATCGGTACACCTATTTTTCTCAGAGACGCTAAAAGTAACAACTAGTTTATCTAATCGTAGAGCGTAGAAAATTTTTGCACGTGTAACTTTGAACAGTTCTACAAAATTTATGGGCCCCTTTTACTCTCCGGGTCGAAGACGCCTAGTGATAAACAAGGGTCTTCCGTCTGTAGAACTTTGGTTCCTGAGATACAGCGACTTGGAGTTGTAACGATAGGTCAGCTACTGTTGGGAACTGAAAAGAACTGTCCCGAGGGGTATCATTAGGTAAGAATGCTTCTCGAGTCTACTCGTGGACTACAGTTTCTTCTACCCCGTTCGGTAGCTGTATGTTAATGAATCTGAATTCTACATCCGGCCAATAGGCAGCATTCTCTCAGGGGTCGAAATTCTGACCAATAGAAACCACATTCCTTGCAGAGTGGTTCTTACAGCCTTCGACGATATACATACGGCGTCCTCGGTCGCTGGAAGTACGAATAACTTCTCTATTTGCAAGGTCGGTCGGTCTCCATTAAACAGGTCTGGTCTAAGAAACGGCAGGAATTGCGAGAACGCGAAAACAATGTATTCCATACAGTGGGAAATCAACCTGTCGATAATAGGTACACGTAATAATACGTGCGTGCAACGGTCAATAATACGGCGTATCGACGCGTGCGTAGTGTATGAGGTAATCTAGCATGCAACGTGTATATAATACAGAAATTCCACTATTGGATTAATCGCCGCGAGATCGTTCCTCGTGGATCGTTCGGAGATCATGAATGCATTTTAATTGGAACTCTTACAGCGACCATAGACTACGCGCGATAATTTGTATGCGCCGATCGATCGTATCTCAAGGTTTACGTAAACATTATGGTAAAACAAGCTAATAAATTTTCATTAAAATTGACGCTGATTTAACGTTTCGCTCGTTCAATGTTTCGAACGATCGAGCACTTTTGGAACAAAATTATATTTGTCGCGTCGATCGAACTCCTATGCTGCGTTTATGATGTGCAAGTTACTCTTTAATGCCCGTTTGTAACGATTCGATATCAGAGGGGAGGTCAGCCGAGTCGCGGTATTAATAAACCGGAGCGCCGATAGCCGAGCCTCAATTAGCGCGGTGAAACAAGTTTGAGAAAAAAAAAAAAAACTAAAGAATCTTTTGTCGAACGCTTTGACGCTTTCACAATATTTTTCAGTCTAACGACTTTCCCCATTTTTCTCGGTCACCGTTTACACGGTCCGTTTCACGGCTGACGATATAAAAATAACGAGCACAAGAGTTGTTGTAAAGTTGCAACACCAGTGCCCCGTGGGCCACTGGTCGCTTTCGTGTCGTTAATTCTCGACAATCGGACCCGGCCAACGAGACTTGTCAACTTTGTTCGCCGATGACATCTGCGCGCTCTCGTAATTGCGTACCTGCTATTCATACGCGATGAGCTCCGTTTCGAATAAGGACTTCGACGGAGGACGCTACCGCGACCACGGAACCAGCACACGATCATGCAAATAAAATCGAGCAGACATTGTATGGGATCGCAACAACCGTCGAGAATCGCGATTCCTTGTTTCCTCGAGATCTGAACAGTGACAGAAGACTGATATCGTATTCACGGTGTCGCGAAACGGATAAACAAATCGTGGACATCCTTCTGTTATTGATTAAGTAATTTTTAGATCGGTTGCACGATAGATTCGAGCTAGAATTTTGATCAGGAGTATATTCCCGTCGGAATCTATGTGAGAACTCCTGTAACAAAAGTTTCGTTTCAACTGTTTTGCTCGATGAAAAAGTTCCGTAACTGTTTCGACCCCGGATCTCGATTGTTTCCCTTCGAACGCGCGTATGCAACGGAATGGAAACGACGCGGAAACGTAACGAAGTTACTAATCAACGCGTCGAGCAAAGAGAACGAGGCAAATAAATGTAGAAGAAAATAAAGATAAGCGAGACTGATACTCCATTATTTATGAAGTGCCAGCAAATGATGACTCCGGTACACGAAGATATTCATCTCGGACATCGTAATTCCATAATAAAAAAAATGATTAATGCCCCTATATTATGTTCTAATTATTGTACAGAAGATGAACGATAAAGAATAACAATAGGAGACTCTGGATTAAATATCTACGCAAAATAAAACTTACAATGTCCGACAGGATAGAAACGAGAACAAGAGGAATATGGAGTATTGCTATCGAATTCACGCCCGGAGCCAATAATCTTGCTACTCGCTGTATACGATAATCGATCCGTACCGATACGTTGGTAAAAATATCGAGCAGGCATTCTGTTTCGAGCGCGCACGAAGCAACGCGACGCGAAACAATAGTATTTAGCATCGAACGTCGCTCCCGGTGCGCTCCACAGCCGTCGTTCCGATCGGCAAGTGTTCCGAAAAAACGAAAAAAGAGAACGTAACGGCGGTCTGTTTACCGAGCAAAGGCCCGTATTCCTAAACTATCGATCGCGTTTGCATGTATGATTTCGCGAAAAGAGAAGAACGACGAACGAAGGAGGTTGGCGCGCGGGAAGAGCAAAACGCGGGAGAGCGAGAGAGGACGGAGGATCGTTGGAAGATTCGGTAGGCATCGGTAAAATAGAAGGGGAATTGGAAGCAAGGTCTGTCGTTCGGCATTCAGAATGCAGAAAGACCGAGAAGAGGCAAGAGAGAACCGTGCAGGGTGGCTCGAGTTCGCGTGCATGTGTTTCTCGTTCGTCCCTATGCACGAGTCCGGCGAGTCGAGAGAGGAGACAGGGGAGAAGGAGCAAAAGAGGGAAAGGGAAGGAAGCGAGAGGCCGCAAAATATATGCCGCATGCTCGTGGATGCTCGTTTGCAGCGTTCGTGGAGGGACGGAGATAATCGCGAGCGCGGCCACGTAGGTCGGAAAGAGACGGCGAAAAGGAGAACGTGGAACGGTTCGGCGAGGAGGCTGGTCAATGATAGGCCGGCTATCGGTACACCCTTCTCGAAAACAAAGCCGGATCTCACCTTGATTTATCGCTGAGTGCTGCCGCGCGTTGTTGCTGCTCCGATCCGGGCGAAGCCGCCGGGGTGAGCTCCCCGGCGAAAATTAATCCATTATCGGCTCGACGAGAGAACAATAATAACAAATCAGCGCCGATGCGTAGGTGACGCGCGGGCACCGCGTAGCGAGAGGGCACGCCGTCGACTGCTCGTTTCCGGAGTCTCTCTCTTTTTTCCCTTCTGTTCCGACGGTTCCTCCTCGGTTGCCCCGAATCGCCTATATACACACCAACGAGTAGTATATGCCCGCCACTAAATCAGCTCTGTAAACGTATGCACGGTGTAACGTGAGTCACGGCCGAGGAGTCGAATGCTTGCACACGGCAGCGGAGATCACACAACGCCGTTCCCCACCGCGATCCGCGCCACGGCACAGACACACCGGACACGTTTCTCCAAATATTTTCCTTCGTGCGCACGCTCCTGTTGACGACGCGTCCCGACGCAGACACGACGATATCGATGCACGTGCGAGACACGACGGCAAGTCACGAACCACCCCTAACGCCGACCGAAAACGCACTGACGTGAACGAAACCGAGGAAACACGAAAGCAGAGATTCCGATCGAGTCCGTGGCCGGTGGTGGGGGAACCCGCTCGGATGACTTCGGGACACTTCGGCGCGCCTGATCCCCACTCCGCGGCCCGCTCATCGGTGTATACAGTGTACAGTGTAGGATCCTCCCGTTCCCTACACGTACACACACGTGCCCTCACGTAGCCTCGCGGAGTCAGTTCCGACGTGTACTCCGTTACCCCTCTCGCCCTTTTCGCTCCCGCTACTCCCCTCCCGCGGTGTTGGAGCACACGCACACCTGTTTGTACGTTCGTGTGCACGCGACCTGACCACCTTACCGAGCGGCAGGCTCTACACGCGCGGTGACGTCACGCTGGGCGCCGTGGCGTGGATAACGAGATGGCCCGAGTCTTCCTCGGGACCCTCGATCGCTAATTATCGTCCTAGAGGTTTCGCCTCGTTCCGAGGGCCGGTTTGCTCCTTTTTCTCCCCGGTTGCTGGCAGACGGAGAAATCGTGTGGCCCGAGAAGGCACCCGGGAGTACAGCCACCCTTACCTCGCGCGGACGTGGATTTTCGTTCGGTCGCTCGTTCCCCGGTGGCATTAATGATGTCTCGTGTAGGTACAGTCACGACCGGTTCCTCGAGACCTACCTCCTATCAAGATCGAGTATCTACTAGCGGACTACGTGGACACCGTACCCGGGGACCCCGAGGAACAACAATTCCCATCTTAGGTTTCACGCGGTGTGTAAAACACATTCTTTCGGCCCCGAGCGACGCTCGTGATTTTAACTTTACCGTTTTCGAACACTGCCCGGACCAGGACGGATTCCGTGAACCGCCACGGGGACGCATGCACGCAAAAATGACCGTCACCTCACGACGTATAAATAACGAAACACCCCCTTGCAGGACGCAGCGAGAGCCCGTGCAATAAATAACGTCCGACCGTAGCACACCTGCAGCGACAAGGCGTGTCCGATGGACGATGAGGTTTAACGTCCCTTCCTCGTTTATTTCTCTGCCCAAAGCTATTGCAAGACGCGACGCCAATAAAATGCTAATCGCCCTTCCTCGTTACGTCGCGCCCGCTGTTCGCCGGACCTGTGTACCCTTTATCGCGATTTGAGATACGAGCGCGTCGCGATCCCCCGGCCAGGATCCGTTCCTAAAAGACGACTCGTGTCTCGAACGTCCTCTCGAATTAATTTCAAGACTAACCGAAACTCCGGTTCGTTAACCGATTCTTCGTTCAGGGTGGCCTTTTAACCCTTTCGGGCGTTTCTAATTATTGTAACGATCTTTGTCCAAAAACTTTGTTAATTCCTTAAAGTGCAAGTCCAAAGGCTCTGTCGCGTCGAGGATTTATTAACGAGAATTGAGACGTAACGCAGGCTCTCATCGGACGATCTAATACAAGCGGGACCGCCTCGAGCAGGTGTGCAGGTTACTCGCAGCGCAAGGGAGATTGGCCAGCATGGCGGCAATCGGATCAATTGGTCGAAAGTTTTATTTTTAATATACGTGCACTTTAATTTAAAGTCTCCCTCTCCCGAAGCTCGTATCGATTGAAAGCTGGGACCGTGATATTATATTATTTGAAAGTAACGATGACTCAGGAACAACGTCGTAGCCAATTTTTCTTACTTTTACGTCTTCGATCGATTGCTTAAGTGGGTTGCGCGCGTCAGGATCTACCCTATATTCCGTAATGTCGAGTTTTTCCTGTCTATAAATAATGACGGGAGCCTTCGATCCGGGGCTCTTTGCGAGCTCTAGGCTGTCCCCTCCCGTAGACGCAGTATCCTCGGCGTCTCCTCGCGCGAAGGGAACTCCGAGCCCTTGGGGCCACGGACACTTTCCCCCGGTGCTCGCGCAATTGCCGGGAAACCGAGGGGTAGCTCTTTTCACCCCGAGAGCCAGCCAGGCAACGGCGGTGCATAGGAACGACGAGCGACGGAGGATTGGTTCTGATTATGATCTCGCGTCACCCCAGCCCGAGGACCGCGACAATGACGATGACTGTAATTCCACGCACGCGCGCGCGCGCAAGGTGGTCCATCATGATCCTTCGACTGGAACGAGAGACGAGACGCGGAAGAAATTACCGAAGGAATACGTTTCTCGTTCGTTCCAGCGTACGGTGGAACAAATTCCCCCAAAAGCGGTCGAAATTCGAATAATCCTGCGTGTAACGCGAACGGAAAGCGTGAGATATCAGTCGCGGAGCGCACTAAACCTCGTTCGAGATACTTTCCACGAACACGTTACTAAGATACCCATATATGGCAATGCACAGTCACCATCGCCACACCCAATGCCGTTAATAAGACCATCGAATCTAACCTCGATAGGGGATTTGTTAATCAGAGTTTGAATCGTCAACACCGTTTCTATTATCTAAATCGCGAAAACCCAGTTTTAGTTCGTTTCAAGCATGCTTGATCCTACGCTTGTAAAGTGTGGATGATCCTGGCGAAATAAAGACCGTGTCTAATGGGTCCTTGGAGCTATTCTTCAGGTTTCCAGAAATTTCAGGGGAAACCTGTGGAGCCTGTAAAGTCTTTAGTGGCTTCTTGAAATTCCTTAGGGCATTGATCAATGGAGAGGAGTGCTGCTACACGATGGCAGGTCCATTAACGAGTTCGTATGACTTATGAATGGAAGCAGGTATATGAACCCAGAAATAATCTGTTAGATACAGTTTGGCTATAATATCGACCGAGTCGCCAGTGATCAGCGAGTAGGATCAAAGCTAGCCGCTGGCGAGCACGTGTGTACGGGCCCATATTTTCTCTTGTATCTAGTGGTCATCGGCGACTTGGTCGACAGTGCGTAACGGGTCTAATTGTAAGGTCTTTCGAACTATGAGAGCTGCAACGATCCGCAGTTAATTTTTTTCGGCTCGATTATTTCTATTTGAAAAACGCAGAGTTACCTAGCACTGAATGTTACTACCGGCTTGGTCGAAGTCTTTATTACACAGTCTGAAACGTTTAATATCGTAGCTGTTAAACCGTGTATCGGAGAAAACGAAGTGCAATCTGTCGGTAATTTCTTGTTCTAGGCGAACGCGTTGTAAATGTCTATAAACGAGGGCTCGGATAGTTTGATCGTTAGCTATAATCGAGTTTAATTTAAGACTTTCGCGATTGTTCCACTGCGCTCGGCGCTCCTTATTAAATTCGCGGAGGTTCATTACCTCCGGCCGGAGTGCTCGGATTTTCGAAAACTATGCGACCCCGCGGGTCGCTAGCAGTCCTCGATACGATTTATCGAGGCTGATATTAATTAACGCTGCAAACAGGCAAAGATTCCCGGCGCACAATGGCTGCAAGTTTCAGCCGTCGAACTCGATAAGCCAGCCAACCGGCGCATGGGTGGGGGGCGGTGAAAACGAAGAATTTCCGCGATTGTTCCGGCAACAATGCCCCGGCCAGAATTTACCGTCGAACTTAAATTTTAAGAGTCACCGGCACGATCGGACTTGCCGACCGTTAAAAAGCGTTTTCCCCTACGGCCGAATGGACCCGCGCGGTCCGCAGAAGCTTGCTTTCCGCGCGACGAATTATTCAAGAGACGGAAACCGATCCCCGGAACGAAAGTTACCCAGAACTTTCCTTCGTTTTTCCATCGATTCCGCCGATCAAGCGTCTGGAGCGGATTCTGGCCGCGGAGTTGATCGTAGCTCGCGGTCGTTCCGTCGATTCAGTTACAGTTCATTCTCGTCGAACCGAGGGGACCCGAACCGAAGGGTAGGCGTCAAAGCGAAAGTTTCCATTGTGACGCCTTCGTGGCGATGCTTCGTGTCCTCCTCGTCGACCAGAAGCCAGAGAAGTTGCCCAACGGAACGCGAAAAATAGAAGTCGCGATGGCGTGAAAATACCCTCGTGACTTCGCTACCCGACTCTCGATGTTTAACCCCTATTGCACACGGTTCTTAAACTTTCTCGTGAAACTAAATCATCGAAGCTGGTATCAGCGAATCAGCACATTGACGATTCTCTCTTGAGTTTTAACGAGTGTGTAAGTGAGAAGTTCAATGCCAAATTGTGGGTAGGCTAATTTAAGGGATTTGGTGGTGGCTACGCCGCCAAGTAAAGGCTGAGGGCAAGAAGGGAAGGAAACTTCTGTTTCCCCGTGTTTTTCTACGCGTGACAGACCAAGGTCTGTCGGGGATGAAGTCCTCAGAAAAGCGACGTTCTGGCGGGCAGGTCGGAAATATCGGTTTTTGTCGCCCCGATGGAAGTTAAAGTCCCCGTTACCCCTGCGGAACCGCGTGGCAGTGTTTTCTGTAGCCATTGTTGGGTCACGGTTGACATTCACGGCCGTCCATGCTCGTCTCGGCGACGACACCAGGATTCTCGAGGGAGGCCTTTGCTCACAAAGGATCTGCCCGGGCACCCTCGAACTTCCTGCGCCGTAGGACCTGCTTTAGAAATCCCCCGAAACCAATTTATCTTGAGAAGCCCGGCACCGAGCTAAACGGATTTTCTCGTCGGTGGCATTAGGCGCTTTTATTCGACGTGAAATTAGCTTACGGGCCGGCGCGAGCGGGCGCGTCGCGAGGATCGATCGTCGCGAATTACTCGCTCGTTCCGCGAAAGAAGTCGCGAACGGGGCTCCCGAGAGCGTTCCCGCGACTCCCGAATCGCGATTCCAATCGCTCCCACACGAGCCGCATAACGTCTTCCCGCCATTATCGAGCCGTGCGAATGTCGATCGTCCCTTGAAACCGCCATTTTATCTAAGTACAGGAGTGATTCTCAAAATGAATCCAAGGGGGATTCCCCCTGGTCGGAAGGGGTAGAAACGTTCAATTTACGAATCGTAAAACCGAGTGTCGATGCACTCGAGCATCCCGGGGGACCTAATCTAAGGTCTGGGAGGCGAAAGAATAGATTCGAAGGACCTCGAGGCACTCGGGCTGTCTATCTCGTACAGCATCGAGCAGCTCGAACGTTCCGGAGTGCGATATTCA